GCTTTGATTCCTATTAGTTTACATGGACGTTTAGTGTGCGCTACTCGATTTTTAGTTGTGCAACCAAACACTTGAATTCATAAATTGTTGTTGAAAAACAATCGACAATCGCACAACAGTCGTGTGTTAGCTTAGTCAAAGTTGTGCGCCCGATCTGTTATTAACATAAATAGGCGTGTATAAAAAGGAAGTAAAATTTGTCGTTTCTAAACCTATCCATTTATACATATCGATGTCGCATAACGTTAAAACTCAAGTATCGAAGATAATAAATATTTTAAGCAAGGATATTAGATATAGACAATATCACTTTTTTATTTTTTTTTTTTTTTTTTTTTTTTTTTCTTTTAACAATACAAAAACAATTAAATCTAGCTTAATCTAAAAAAACGCTAAATAAACCTCAATGGTTTTTCACTAGCGTTTCAGTGGCTTGCGTACATAAATATTGTTTCAGTTTATGCATAATGTTTTTTTGTGTTATACATTTTATTAGACCTGAGGGTAGTTCATTAACTAATCTAGGTACAATGTATGATGCCGTGCGCTCGCCGTACACATTTTTTGCGCCAATAGTGTTAGATTACTTATCTTCTCAAAACCATTTATACTTCCTTAGGGTGCAATAGAAACTTTCCTATTCGTTTTATTGTTTTACTAGCTTTACCCGCGACTCCGTTCGCGTGGAATTAGGAAAAACAAAAGTGGCCTATGTGTTCTTCTAGACTATTCTGTACATCTATGCCAAATTTCAACGAAATCCGTCCAACCGTGTAGGCTACAAACTCTAACGAACGTTCATCCATCCATCCAAACTATCGCATTTATAAGCTTTAGCTCGCGACTTTATTCGCGTGGGATTGAAAAATAAAACGAAAGTGAATAGCCTATGTGTTCTTCCAGACTATCTTCTACATCTATGCCAAATTTCATCCAGATCCGTTTAGCAGTTTACACTACTAATTCTAACAACCATCCGTCCATACATCCAAAATTTTCGCATTTATAATATTAGCAACATTGAACTTGTTGCGAATTAGATAGTACATTAATTTTACGTATTATAAAGACAAAGATCGTCATATTTCTAATGAGAAAAGAAATAAATTAAAAACGAAAGAAAAAATCAAAACCCTTCCTACAAAACATAGTGAGAGAATGTTTACTTGTTAAGTCTAATTCATCGTTCAATTAACAATAATATAATTTCATTTTCAGTTTTAAAATTAGTATTTTCTCAATATATAAAGGGTTAATTCATCAGATTTAATACAAAGAGTATTAGATTAAGATTAGTAAATTGCATTTCTTTGAGAACAATAGGGTGTGTCGGCGTCAGGGGCAGTGATATCATTCCTTGCTCAAATACTACGTGCCTTATCTCCCTGAACTCACCCGCGCTGCGGCAAATGAGTTAATCTGTAATTGAAGGGCTCTTTGACTTACACTCAGTAATTATTATTTTCTTTATTAAAGGTAAAAATATTAAAATGAAACACTTATTTTATATTCAACTAGTTTCTTGCGTCTTAATACACGAGTAAGAATAGTAATAAATATAGCCTAGCCTATGTTGCTCAGTAATAACGTAGCTTTTTATTGGTGAAATAATTTTTTAAATCGGCCCAGTAGTTTTTTAATTTCAATACAACGATCCCACTTGATGATGAGGGGCCCGAAGAATACCCTAAGTTAGGGGTGATTAGGCCGTAGTCAACCACACTAGCCTACTGGGCGTTGGTTAAAGTCACAGATATCTTTAAAATTCTTCGCCGATATGTGCAGGCATCACTATGTTTTCCTTCACCGTTAGAACGTCGGGTATATTATGTACATATGAAATTCGAAAATCACATTGTTACATGACGGGATTCGAACTCAGGGTTTGTAGATAAATTCAAGTGGGTAAACTTCTGAGCCACCGACGCTCTGAACTGAAGACATATTCGATTAGTGGTAAATACATAAAAGTTTAAACACCTGTACAAGGGAATGCTTTTGAAAGTTTTGAAGGCTTGAAAGGGATTACGGATTACGTTATGGTTACGTATATTTAATACATCTTACACACGTATTTATTAACCTGAATAAACAGGTTCTATTGTAGTGGTATACTTACTAAGTTATATGAAATTAACTTAACATAAGATTGGTAAGAAATTGTGATTACATAAAACGTAAGCAGTTCCTAGAATTAAAAAAGAGGCGTCTAATTGTGCAGAATCTAAGTCTTGTCTAGTTTACAAGCAATTTAACAAGAATTGCTTTTTTATATTTCCTAGAACTCCTAGAAAATGTCATTTGAATGAAACATTGTAATTCTGGTGACGTTATCACATTGTAGTTTAGTCGTTTTCATCAGTTATCTTCCAGTAAAATTCTAGTCATAAACGTCAACCCATTTCGGAGTGAACAAATGCGTATGGACAGAGACAAAATTTATAATAAATGTTTTTGCATTATAAGCGATTCCAAGATATAATATCCGCAAAAGATGAAAAAATATTATCGAAATAAGACACTTCAATTTTACTTTGATAGATGCTACTTCTTAACTAAAAATAAGATAATAATCTAGTTCCTAATTTCATTTAGATAATAATCGTGACACGTAGTCTAAATTCTGAATCGACTAAGTTACAATTTAATCTGTCTATCAACGCTAAGAAAGAATTTTAACTCCTCGAAATTATCTCGTGTCCCCATCGAAGGTTATCGAAGGCCGGAAATTGGAACCTTTATAATGAGGTGCTGCGAAATGTAAATGATGTTCCGAAACTAAAATGCTCAAATTATTTACGTTATGGCCGTAATAAATGAGAAGTAATGTTTTTTTTAATACAGTTAAAATGGTAGTAATTGTAATAAAGGATGTTTCTTTTATAACGTATTGTCATTACTAAAACTTTGACCAATAAAATCTTTTAGTAAGGTTTTTCTAACCTTGTGTTCTATGCTAATATTATAAAGAGGAAAGATTTGTATTTTTGTATTGTTGTATGTATTGAAATAACGCAAAAAGTAGTGGGCCGATTTCAAAAATTCTTTTACCAATATCAAGCTACGTTATCAGTGAGTAACATAGGCTGTCTTTTTTTTATTTTACGTAAACGAAGTCGCAACAGCAAGTAATTAATAAAGTTATTTATTATAAAATTTTAACAGCCCTGCTACTTCAGAGTAAAGGGTTTTTATTTTCATTACTTTTTAAGTATAGTAAAAAAAACATTTTAATAAAAATGAAAGGAGTTTATTACCGCTTGCTATATTTAGTGATCTTAGTATTAAAAATATATTTTTTTCTACTAACACATTGATTAATCTCGAGCATATAAAGTTGTATAACTACGTAATACTTTCGTGGTTCCTTAAACGTGAATACAGACTTTCTGGTTATTATCTAATTAAATATGATGACCTTTTACCCTTATTTTCTGCATTTAAAAAAGTTTTCCTTTCACCTTAATAATAAATGCTTTGTGACTGATTTTGTATTGCCTTGGCTCTAGAACTGAGATTTGACGAGCGAATTCCCTTAAAGCAACCATCATATAAAACTATAATGAAAAAAGACCTTTAAACAAACGACGAACAAGAATTATAATTAAAAACACTGTCAATACAGACGTAAAATCGAAAATGTCAATTAAATTTAATTGCGATTTTGCTAGACGTTAAAACTATGCAAACATTTACACTCCTTGTTATTTTTATGCACGGGAAAACTTTCAAATTGAAGCGAATTTTTTGTCATAAAAATATATGATTAATATTGTGATATTAACAGTAAGATATCAGCAAATTCATTAATAACTGACTTAATTTGCTACAACACTTTTAATTAAATAAATAGATAAATTTCTATCGCCAATAGCCTAATGATTTTGGGGTACGGATTACGAATCTTGCGGGTCGAGGATTCGAATCCCGCCATTCGACTATTGTCGTGAACCATATCCTGACACAAGCCTACAGCATAGTTGGAATGGTTAAAGGAAATATTTGTAAATTAACAAAAATCTACTAATATTTTTACTAAGAAAAAAAAATAGAAGAAATCTTCAGTAATTCCGGAAAAAATGAATAAATCCTTCTTAAATTCTTCATAAACCATGTAAAACTTTTTAGGGTAACTTTTAATGAGTAAATTTTAATTTAATGGAAGTGAGAAATTAAAAAAATATCTAATCAATTTTACCTTAACAAGACAGAGACCGCAGACTTATTAATAACAGACATTTCTATATGTCCAGTAATTTTATAGTTAATAACTAGAATCTTATAAATAAAATTGTCAGCTGAAATGTGTTGATAAAATATCTGTTATTGAATTTCGCTATAAATTGGGCAATTTAAGATAAATTAATTACTCTTGTTAATCAATTGAATTGAACTGTCAAATTGTTCATTTCCTTACGACTAAAGATAGATATCTCCTGAAGATAGGATTTACCGTAATAAATATGAACCTTTTAAAGTAACCGATTTTTAAGATTCATATATCTGTATTCGTCTATTTACTACATAATATTTTTTACGATTTTAAAAATTATTATTTGAATTAATAATTGCTTTGTGTATTACTTTTATGAAGAAACGTCACGTTAGTCACAGTCTACAGGCTTTATACAGTGAATAAACTGTTCCATCTTCCGAGATTCATATCCAATTTGATATTTTTCAATTATTCCAGAAGTCGGAGCGAAGGAGCAAAATCTTTTCATTGATTAAAAAAAATGCAAACTATATTTTTAAGTTTCTAAGTGCAATGTCTCTACTGATAAATCTTTTACAGTTATTTGGTGTTTATTAAAAAAAAAACTCATTTACAATTATTTTAGATATGAATGCACACAATATAGTTTTTTCTAATTGTAAAGATTATTTATACACTTCTTAGTAAAATATTTATTACTTTAAAAAAAATTGTTCTTTTTATTTTCAATTATTTGGACCCCTGTAAGCTTTTTAACTTTACTAGCTTACTTATCTAAACTTACCTGAATCGTATCCTTCACTACACTTAGTATCAACGTGGCATGCGGTGCACGCCGGCGGACGTACTGTGCGCCAGCAGGCTTCGTCGTCACTTATATAAGCACCTCCCATAGGCGTTGGGCGGGCGGACGACTTGAACAACCGCCCAAGTTAGCGTAGGCGGAAGAGTGTTAAGTTGAAGTTGAAAGACGTTGTGATTCTTCATCACTGATTGCTTTTATGGTGACAATTCAATGGTAGAATTCCTACATCAGTAGCATCAAGTATTATAACTGAATAAGGGTAAGTTGCATTATTACCCTTAACTTTACTATGAATACGTGAAGCAAGAGTTATTTTACTCCTTTATTAAAAAAATCGCGTCTCAATGGACACCAAAGACACAAACATGAATTACAGCCATAACAAGCAGATGGGACTCTATGTGTCTACTGCCACTATTGGTTCAGACCTTACTCAAGAAGTCCTTTAGTGTTCATAAACGGTTTAAAAAATGTTTAATTTTTCATGTTAGATATTAACTACTAATCTTCAGATAAAATCGTATTTTACTGGGAATCGAACCTATTACCGTTCAGTCTCTTATCGTTAACCTACATCGAGTCTAATATTAAAAAGGTCATTTTTTAAAAAGCTACGAATGGTTTTATGTCCAACTTTTAAAGTTCTGTTATTCAATTCACTCTAATCTAATAACTTAAAACATAATATTAGAAATGAAATAGTTGAGACCGTAACGAAAATAACTTCGTAGCAGTCTGCGTAAATGTTTCGTAGCGGGTACGTAACGTTATACGAATGTTCACCGATCTAGGTTATTACTGCGTTTAAGAAGATTCAAATGAAGCTTTTGTTTTTGTATATTAGTTAATTTTACCACCACAATGAGTAATAGAAATAAATAAATATAGAAACATTTATAGAAACTTGTAAAGATTAAAAAGTCTTCTGAATTTGTGTAAAATATATTTATTTATAATGTTAGTGATAATATAAAATCAATATTGCAGTTCTGTTTATCAAAGATTTAAAAAGTAAATCGAATAAATATATGTATTCAATAGAATGTGTACACACTAAAGTCATATTTTCATTCAAGAGCGTGCCTTCAAATGTGATTTGCTGTTTATATTTTGTTTAAGTCAATTCTTTTGTTTTTTACTGAGCCTTAAAGTATTATATTCTCATAATAAAACGGTTAAGATTTGAATTTATCTACGCTGACATTATAAAGAAGAATTATTTGTGTGGATGTACGAATAAAAAACTACTGAAACGAATTTAAAATCACTTTCACTATTAAAGAGACACTACCACAGAGTAACATTAGCAAAACCTTTTGTTTAATATGGAGAACGGGACCACAAAAGAAAACACTCACTTGTA